GTGTTGTTCAGTGCCTCTGTCTCCTTACTTATATTCTGTCTGGTTGATCTGTCCTTTGGAGTGAGTGGTGTGTTGAAGTCTCCTAAAATGAATGTATTACATTCTATTTCCCCCTTTAATTATGTTAATATTTGTTTCACTCTTATGTTGGGTGCATAGATATTTATAATGGTTATGTTCTCTTGTTGGACTGACCCCTTTATCATTATGAAATGTCCTTCTTTGTCTCTTGTTACTTTATTTTGAAGTCTATTCCATCTGATACAAGTACTGCAATACCTGCTTTTTTCTCCGTATTAGTTGCATGAAATATCTTTTTCCATCCCTTCACTTTTAGTCTGTGTATGTCTTTGGGTTTGAAGTGAGTCTCTTGTAGGCAGCATACAGTTGGGTCTTGTTTTTTATCCATTCAGTGACTCTGTGTCTTTTGATTGTTGCATTCAGACCATTTACATTTAGGGTGGTTAACGATATATATGTACTTATTGCCATTGCAGACTTCAGATTCGTGGTTACCAAAGGTTCAAGGGTAGCTTCTTTACTATCTAACAGTCTAACTAAACTCACTTAGTATGCCATTACAAACACAACCTAAAGGTTCTTTTTTATTTTTTTCTTCCTTTTTCTTCCTCCTCTATTCTTTATATATTAGGCATCATATTCTGTACTCTTTGTCTATATTTTGACTTTGGGGGTAGTTGATTTAATTTTGCATTTACTTAGTAATTAATTGATCTACTTTCTTTACTGTTGTTTTATTTTATCTGGTGACAGCTATTTAGCCTTAGGAACACTTCCATCTATATTACTGCTTGAAAATTTAATGGAGAGCGAGATATCAGAGGCATTCCTATAGTTTAGGAATACAGCATAGTCCTCATAAATTATTTCACTCATACCAGTTTTGTTTTCAACATATTTGAAAGCACTGACATGTCCTTTCTCCACATTTTATCAATAGTTCCTTCTCCTAAATTAGGTGAGGTTTAGTGACAATTTCTAGAACATAGCCAGACATGATACTGATAGATTTACACTATTTGGGGATAAAGTAGTAAAAATGTACTTCTTTAAAAAGGATACACAGGTTAAAATGGGTAATTTCATTTTAGTTTTTATACACTTAATAATACACATTGCAATGAGAGGTGTGAAAGCCTATACAATATAGAAAAAAATACTGCTCTTTTACAGTTCCAGTTTTTCATTAATAAAACATCCTTTGGGAAGTGTCTTGATTTACTCACATACTCATTTTTTCAGTTCCTCTTCCTTCCTTCTCCCTCCCACTCCCCTACCCACAGCCCTCTTGATCCTCCCTCATCTCCCAGAAATAGCCCTGTTTCTTCTCAGCTAGGTGAAACTTATAGTAGTAGGGAGGGAAGAATACTGAACCCAGTCTGAAGAACCTCTACCTTAGTTTGGTTCTTGAAGAAGCAAATTATCCTCCTCAAGGTGACCTGTCATGTTTGGCAACCAGAAAGCCATTTACTTTAGTGAGTAGGAGATAAGACACCTTGTTAAGGCATGCCAAACCCAGATATCCTCTCTCATGGTCAGTGATCTGTCTTGGATGGTCTTGGTGCTTTTAGAATTCAAATTTTGTTATTTGTATCTTTCATTTGCATTTGGATAATATTTAGTTACCCTTTATCCCCATTTAACATATGGATTTTTAAAACCAAATCCATAGGGGGAAAATTTTAACTTGGATTTGTTGATTGTTCACTCTGTGGACAAAATGAAAGTAGGTTAGTGGTAATCTTTATAATGAGCATATAATACCCCATTTTGCAGATAAGAGAATCAAGAACCAGAGAATTTATATAAATTTCCTAAGGTTAAATAGTTTGTTAATGTCAGAGCTGGGATTAAACATAGGTTTAAAACTCCAAAGTCTATGCCCTTATACCTGTCATCAGTAACTGTTCAGCAGTGAATCAAATCTAAGTCCTCTCTTTAGACCCCAACTGTGGCAGATCTTTATACAAATCCACATTAAATTGTTTGGTCTATGTCCCAATTCTCTTTGTAAAATGGTTATAAAGAGACTTAACTTCATTGGGTTATTATCAGAGTCAAATGAGATAATATACATGTAAAACACATCTGATACAAACTAAATCCTTGATAATCTTCAGTTATTATTGCTGTCAGAGAAAAGAAAAATACCAGAAATTAAAAATTGAAAGGGTTCTGTGTTTTCTAGAATTGGTCCAATCAAAAGTTAAGTCTGTCAAAATCTGACCTGTGCATTTTTTTAATCGTAATTGGAGACTTGCCACTTTGTCAGTGGACCAGGTTATTTAGGTACCTTATGATGTTGAGAAAAACCAAGATGCTCTCATTCTTCAAGGCATACAGAGAAAATTTTAGGCGGTTTGCTTCACATTCTAAAAGGAACATGAAAACTTAAAACAGGTCAAGAGCAGAGTAACCAAGATGTCGACAGAGCTTGAAATTGTGTCATAAGGAGAAGGTTGAAGGAACTGTAGATTTGAGCTGGGGTAGAAAGTGGATGGGAGGGAAGGTGTAAGGAGGTGGGCATGGAAACTAGATATTTTCAGAAGTGATACTGAACTGGATAGTCTATGGATAAAAATTAGCCAAAAGCAGATTTTTGCCAGAATTTAAGGAAAAACTTGTCAATTAGAACTATCTGAAGCAAGGAAGGGAGGACTGGGTTGCTTCCAGAAGTAGTGAGGTTTTCAAGCAGAGATTGGACATTCTTGTTATTGGAGTGTTTGAATAAGGGGTCCATTCGTTAGATAAGGGTTGGATTAAAGACCTCCAATATTCCCTTTGCAGACAGAGTCAGTGACCTAAATCCTGACCCCCTGTAATTCCTGCTTAGATTTGACATTGATGCGAAAATACCATTTTGGATTGCCCATTCTTCTCATGTTATTTCCTTAGTAATACCTCCCACCTCTAGTAGGTTATAACAATTATAGGAATGGTTTGTAGTTATTGTCACCATCAGAGAACTAGAATATTATAGAACCATAGGGTTGTAAGGGACCTTAAAGGTCATGTAATCCAATTTTGGAGATTTGATTCTCTAAGGATATTTGACACTTTTTCAGCATGTACTTTTTCAGAGTTATTTTATTAATTATTCTAAACTGATTTTATTTTAGGAAAACTGGATGTCTGGTATCAGAAAACTGGTGTAAGAAAGCTGGCATGTGGGAAGTATTTTTGAGAGGGAACAAGAGAACAGGTGGTTGTAAGGCCTTTTGAAATTAGCTGCCCACTTTCAAAGGCCTTGTAGGTTTTGTTCTCTGACATCAGTAACAGGGTAGCACGATAGTGATAACTTTATTACGCCTGATTAGTTTTTCTGTGCTTTGTTTATCTCATGTCAGTGAATTGTCATAAAAATAAAGAGTAGAAGACTTATATTCTTTCTTCTCTCATATTACTTTGGGTCACTGCAGTTCCATTGCTGGCTGTCACTAAGCAGGAATCTTGTTCCCAAGGCTTTTATAACTTTATCATCTTTGTATGTGGATAATCAGAAATATAACCACCACCACCACCACCCCCTTTCTTCCCCCATTTTTGTTAGAATTTGTGCCAGAATAGATTCAGTTAGGACCAAAGTTCAGACACACATGCTGATTCAAGGACCAAAGTCCAACAGGTAAAAGGCTAGAACCACTGTGGCAAATTAATGCTGTTTTATTTTTGTGTTGTGTTTAAGGGACATTCTGCATTGACAGGCTGAATGTGTCTCATTTCTTTTTTAGACTAATGGTCATTATTGGAGACAAATTACTTGCCAATGTAAATAATTTGTGGTATACAATTTTATTGCATCATAATACAGTTTTCTATATTTGATCATTTTGACCAATATAGGGTGATTCATTTGAAATATGTCTGTTTTGTGTTTTTAAAATAGAAGTATCTTTATTGTTTTTACTGATTTTTAAAGGCAATAAATACATGGTCATTGTTTAAAATTTTTTAAATTTGGAAATGCTTAAAGCAGAAAGTGAAATTATCCCAGGCCCATGGGGTAATATAATCACTGTTAAGTTTGGTTGGTCCTTACAAACTTATTTATATACATAACATATATAGCACTGTATATAATATTATGTAGATCTATATAATGTTTTAACCATAAATTGGATTATATTACTCATGCTTTCTCTAACTTACTGTAATTTGATATAGTGCAGATGTTTTTCCATGGTAATATATATAGACATACTAAGGTTTATATAGCTGTGTAGTATTCATTTAACAAATCCTTCATCCCTAACTTGTGGGGATTTTGGTTGTTTCCTTTTGTTGTTGTTATACAATGAATATTTTGTACATATATCTGAGGTGTTTATTCTAAGTAAATAGTTGAACTCCTAAAAGCAGCATTGCTGGTCAAAAGGTATATTACATTTTAAACTGACATGTGTTACCAGATTTTCCTCAAGAAAAAGGTTTACAGAATTTTTTATCTTAACATTGTATGAGAATGGCTGTTTCTTCACTGAAACAGGCTTCTTATGAATGTAATCAGCATTAATTTTTTTAAAATTCTGACAAATATAGTTTCATAATTTAGCTGGTCCTAATGCTAGTTCAGTTCTCTTGATGTCTTGATCCTAATATAAATTACTCTCTACAGAAATCTTAACTTTCATCTCTTATGTATGAACAATAAAAAGAAGTAGCTAAATCAAAGACAGATATATTTTAAGAGATAATTCCATTATGAGTTAATATAGGAATTACAACTTTCTCAGGGTAACTTAGAGAAGTTTCCTGTAGACATTTAAATCCTTGGTCTTTTTGCTGAGACTCTTTGGTATACCTCAGCTTATTTATTTATAAAAAGAATTTATTGGTCCGGAAGAGTTAATTAAATTTCCAGAGCCATAAAAATTGAAGCTAAATTTCAGTTAAATCTGAAGTTGAGTTAATTTCATTGGTAGCTAGTTCAAAATGTGTTTTAAATATAATACATTTAAAAAAATACTTTTAATGAACAGGAAGCTCTGATGAGGAAGAAGGTACTTTGGAATCTGAACTTTGGAAGGGCCCACTACCAGAAACAGATGAAAAATCACAGTAAGTCCTGATATTAATAGGTAATGTGTACCTTTTACATCAATTTAGGAAGCCATTCTTGATAACAGTTAATGAAAAAACTTAGCATCATGAATATCTGTTTAATGCTAAGTGCCACCCAGCTTGGTAAGATCAGAGTTTATTCTCAGCCATTGTTTGTGATCATAAACTTCCAACTTGTCCAGCTTCCTCTTGGTAAGTAAATCCTTTCTCAGCTTACCTTAATAGACAGCCCTCTGGTCTTTGTTTAGATTCTTTCAAAGAAGGGCTGTTTACTAGCTTCCAGAGCAGCCTGTCCATGATATTCTGATTATCATAAACCTATACAGGGAAGTTCTTTGAAGGTATATACAGGTGTAAAAGTTTACTTGCCTAGACTCACCTTAGCCCCAAAGACAGATAAGTCAGTGTGTGCATTGTTTCCTGCTGTGGACTATCTAGATGTGGGCTGGAATATCACCAGCTCTTGTCATATATTGGGAATGTTTACCACTTGCTTGATCTGTTAAAAGAGAATAAAATAATACCTAGTACATAAAACTTACTGTGAAGATATAATGAAATAAAGAATGTAAAGCATCTGGTATAATACCTGCCAATACAGGAAGAGCTATAGTCTCATTTTGTTAGTTGCTAGTCATATTAGTTCATAATAGAAAAAGACATATTGAATCAATCATAATTTACTTACTTAAGCTGATTATAAAACATCTTGCTAATTATATGGTGTATTCTCAGTGTAATAGAATTCAGGTGTATTGGAAAGAGTTTTTTTTTTTTTTTAAATAAGATTTTTTTTCCTGTGACTTTAACCATTTTTCTTAGCCAAATAAACATTATAAAATGTGACTTTAACCATTTTTCTTAGCCAAATAAACAGATTATAAAGTGACCCATATAATCAGTATAGCTCAGATTATAAAAAAGTTATTGCTATAAATAAAACACTGTTATCCTAGTTATAACTATTAACTGAAATTTCAACCATATAACTTTCCTTTCAAGAGCTTTATAGCTAAAAATAACAGGCTAAGTCTTAGAGTTGACTTAGACTAAGTTGACTAAGTCACCTCCTTTTTAGACTTTGGAGATACATGAGTAAATCCTAAGAAGGCTTGCATAATCCAAAACACTGTGTCTTATAGAAATTTGACATTGATCAAGTAGTGATCATTTAAAGCAACACAGAAATTCAGCTAATTTCTTATATTTAATTTATTTCTACAATTAAAAGAAATTCTGCATTGTGCTGTCATGCCGGGGAAAAGATATAGCAGGAAAAGATATAGCAGCATGGGTATTACCAAATTGCAGATAATTTTTAAATCAACTTTGTGATTCTATAATGAATTACTTTTTAATTTGAACATGGTTGTGATGGCTTTTCCTGATTTTGTAATGAATTATTTTTTTATTTGAACATGGTTGTGATGGATTTATGCATTCACAATTTTTTTAAAACCAAATGATGGAGTCCCATTGTGAATCTCTTAATCTAAAAGAACATTTTCTAAAGAGACTGGTAGACTTAATTTGACTCCCTTTTCCCAAAAGGAAGAAAGTAACTGTGCATACATTTAATCCTCACAGCAACTCTTTGAGAAGATATAATGCTTTCCATTTTACAGATAAGGACCTGAGCCCAAAGAAGTTAAGTAACTGATCTACCAAACTTACAAGTGACAGAGCTGGGACTTAAACACTGACCTGAAAATCTGTGCTACTTATACTATACCACTGGGATCCCCAGAATGAATACTTATTTAGTACTCTAAAAGTTTCATAATATTTTAACACATTATAATTTCATACCTCCTTTCACAGTTCTGTTGTTTTAGACATGATTTCTACCGCTACAAATACATATTGAGTATTCTTAGAGCGATGAAAACCTTCAGCCTAAGCATATTTCTCTCATTCCTATGAGTAAGACTTGTTTTTCATTCATTTCTTGATCAAACTATAACTTGAAATGAGAATGAACAGAGAAGTTATAAAGGCAACCAAAAAAGTAAAGAGAATCAATGATGTTTCAGAAAGTATCTTAGGTAATGAATACATTTAGGGAGCGGTACCAACATATGAAACATTTTAAATTAAACAATGTAGTTATAGTTATGATTTTTCTAGAACCTAAGAATTATTCAATGGCTGAATCATAAAATATATTGATCTATAAGAATCAGCAAATGCGTTGAAATGAAATATTTTATTTTTATTAATCTCATATAATGTGTCACCTAGTAACTTTTTTCACTAAATGTTGATTTTAATCAATATGTGTGCTTTTTTTAATAGGGAAGAAGAATTTGATGATTATTTTCAAGATTTATTTCTGTAGATGGAAGACAGGAGCCTACATTCTTTAATGTGGAAGTACACTTGGAAATTCTTGATAAAAGTTTTATCTGTAAGTTGCAGCTTGAGTGGTTTGTCTTTGGAAATAATCACCTAGCTACTCTCTGGATGTCATATGCTTTGGAAGATTTTTAGTTATATTGAAGACATGTTTCTCCATCCTGTATGTATCTTTTCACTTGCTTATCAACAACTCTGTTCTGTGTGTAGCTCCTAGAGGCTGGAGCTAGTACACTGCAGAGATTCCATTGTTCTTATATTTTGTAGGGTCTTTTTCCCCCACTAGATCATATTTATCTTCCCTTGCCTCAGTTAGCTTAAATTATTAGGATTATTGGAGTCTCACAAAACTCATAATGTAGATTAGGTATGTCTTCAACTTCTTTTCTTTCCTTTGATAGACTGGCCACCCCTCTTTTAAGCACCTGTGTTTCTGTTACCACCTGTTTCTAATTGCCTTTTTTTTTTTGCTTGCCTTTTTCTTGCTTCTCACCTCTACCACTTAATGGAGTTTGTTATAATCAAATTTGACTTCCCAGTGTGTGGGGAATTTATTACAAAGTAAATTAATATCACAGGGGGCCAAATGAGATCCCAGTAATCTAAAATAGTGGATGTGTTCACAAAAGTTGACTCTCTGGTACAGATTATGCAATAAGATAATTTAATTTAATATGACTGTGTATACAGAGCTTGTTTCAGATGCACATGTGGGTAGTCTTATATGCAGGGATATGTTACAGAAGGTAGCTTCTTAATTTGTGGGTCCATACCCCCAGGAGTCAGTGGATTGGCTTAAGGACATCTAAGCCCATCTATGTGTAAACGTTTGTGATTATGTGTATTTTTAGAGGAAAGTGTCCATAGTTTTCATCAGATTTTCAAAAAGATTTACTGACTTTTTTTAGAAGGTAAGAGCCATTTTTTTTATTAAGGTATCATTGATATTCACTCTTATGAAGAAGGTTTCACATAAAAAACATGTGGTTACTACATTCATCCATATTATCAAGTTCCCCCCTATACCCTGTTGAAGTCACTGTTCATCAGTGTAGTAAGATGCCACAGAGTCACTACTTGGTAAGACCCATTTTTAGAGAAGATGCATGATGTGGTTAATAGGAGCTAGAACCCATAGGAAGTAATCATAGAATTCCGATTATTTTGTTGAAGGTATGCTATTTTATTTATTTACTTATTTATATTTTTTTATTTTTTATTAAGGTATTATTGATATACAGTCTTATGAAGGTTTCACATGAAAAAACAATGTGGTTACTACATTTACCTGTATTATCAAGTCCCCACCCACACCCCAATGCAGGCACAGTCCATCAGTGTAGTAAGATGCCACAGATTCACTCTTTGCCTTCTCTGTGCTTCACTGTTCTCCCTGTGATCCCCCCACACGATGTGTACTAAACATAATACCCCTCAGTCCCCTTCTCCTTCCCTCCCACCAGCGCTCCTAAACCCTCCCCTTTGGTAACCACTAGTTCCTTCTTGGAGTCTAGGAGTCTGCTGCTATTTTGTTGAAGGTATGCCATTTTAAATGACATTTAAACATAGAATAATTAGCTTTAAACTAGAAAATAAAGAATTCAGTGTCTTGTTTTTTAAATGGTATTAGACATTTACTTTTTATTAAATAGTTGTTATTCATAAACTCAGCAACTATTTACCAAGCTTCTGTTCTGTCTGAGGCACTGTGTTGGACATTGCTACAAAGTAACTATCTGGGAAGTAATGATGGAGTCATTTCCAAACAATCAGAAACCAGTGAACCAGTGGTAGTTTATTACTCTTGAACATTGCTTGAAAGTGCCCTTGTTTCTTAAAGAAATTTGTTTATCTTATTACTTACAGTGAATAAAAAGGTATCTTGATTTCTGAGGGAAAAAAATCTTAATTTCTGAGGAAAAAAGTGTTGAAATGTCCAGCAGCAAAACTGATATTAGTAATAGAATATAAGTAGTAAAATATTTTTTATGAAAAAAATAATATAGTTTAGTGACCATCAGAAAATAAAATTCCTGCAAAAGTAAATAATGACTAGGAAGAATATCTAAAAGCCCCTTTAAAATAGATCCATATATTTGGTATTGCAAGTATGGTTTATGGCCATCAAGTACATTTACAAATTTAGATCATATATAATCACAACACTTAATCCGTATACAGTGACAGGTAATGGGAGTTATATTCTTAAGAAATCTTTGAAAAGGTCTCAAGATGATGAGTTAAAGCTTAATTGTCCAGCAGACCTTCTCCAGACTTTGCTATAGTGCAATCAGTGGTGTTCATTGGACCATTGCTTCAGGATATGAAATTATATTTTTTATACTTTTAAGCAGAGTTCCTGTTTTTTGCAGACCTTCACTGGTAGTATGTCTTTATACCTCAATTTAGTGAATGATGAGGGCAAGTTGTTTGAGCTGACTGATAATATGGACTCTAAAATTACATAAGGCTAAAGGAAGAGAGTTTCTTACGCAGTTTCTAAAATAATTGTAGAAGTGCAACTTCAAAATTAAGTAATGGAGATAAGGTGTACATGTATCACTTACCTGAGGTGACAACTTAAATAGACAATGCTCATTTGGGTGTATATGTTTTCTCCCTAAGAATATTTTATTAACTTTTAGGCATTCCTCATTTTGCCTGTTTGTTAATGACATTTATTCAAAGCATTCATTCATATTTCCTGAGCATCTACCTTGTACCAGGCACTACTCTAGGTGCCAAGATAGAGCAATGAAAAAATAGACAAAAATCTTTCCCCTCATTGACCTCACATTCTAATGTGAGAATAGAAATCTTATCATTTTAAATCTTACAATTTCTACTTGGAAAAATATAACAAATGGTGATTTATTTCTTGGCTGCTGACAATTGAACAATATCTCCTGAATAACAAAACATTTGAGGTTAGTTCATAGACTGACAATTCAATTTATTATAATTTAAGTGTCTTCTTACAACAAAATCTATGGTGTAATTGTAGTCTGTTTTGTAATTTGGTCTATGATTATAGATAAGTAAAGGAGAAATCTTACATTTCTCTGATGTCCATGTAGTAAAAGTGGTTGTGTGTCCTTAATTTCTCTGGACAAGTGAATATTTAGAGTGCCTAAGAGATAGTTTTAGCTAGTAATCATTTTTGTAAAATAATTTCTCTGTTGAAATCCTTCCAAACTGCTTTTGATAGTAAAGTTCTTACATCATTAAATTACATGCTTCCTAATATATAATATCTATTAGCTGATTTAACTTGCATTAGGATTATCCAGGTAATATCTTATAAATTGATAATTCTTTCAAAATATTCTTACACATAAAATAATTGACTTCAGGCTTGAGGGAAGGGATGGGCATAGGACAAAGACATCATAAATAAGTTGCCCAAAGTGGTATGATCTTCACCCTGGGAAAGATGGTAAGCATTTCCACTGGAGAAACATCTGACATGCTTTTTCATTGTTCTATTAGTATTTACGTATATTATATATTCCATACTGTATTTTCTCTTACATTAAGACATGTTGAGATATTTTTAGTTTAGGAAGATATTTGAGATATGAGTCAGAATTATTGTTATGTTTGTGAGCCCTCTCAAATTCATATGTTGAAACTCAAACCCCTGGAACCTCAGAATGTGACTGTATTTCGTAATAGGGCATTTGAGGAAGTAATTAAGGTAAAATGAGGTCATACGAACAGGCCCTAATCCAATGTGACTTTATAAAAAGAGGAGATTAGAAGACTGGCACACAAGAGTGGAGACCACGTGAAGACGTGGACAAGATGCCTTCTGCAAGCCAGAGAGGCCTCACGCGAAACCAGCCCTGTCAACACCTCGGTCTTGGACTTGTAGCCTCCAGAATTGAGAGAAAAAATTTCCATTGGTTTAAGCTACCCAGTCTGTGGTGTTTTGCGCTGGTAGGCCTAGCAAATGAATACAATTAGTAAGAACATTAAAAAAAAAAAATGGTGGCTAGTTTCAGGATTACATATTTTTAATTTAAAACAAATTGATGCCCAAATACGCTTACTTTCATCTTATTTTGCACTTTCATTGAACTTTATTTTATCCTCTGTTTTCAAGCTAGCAATATATTTTCTCTTGGCAGTACAGGATAGCTTCTTCTCTGAGGAGCTTCTTACTGTTACTTGATGGTTTGCTGAATGACATTTGCTGATATTTTTTTGAATGTTTTCTGTTTTCCAAAGTAGAAATTTTTGAAATTTAGGCCAGTTGAATTATATTACAATATTAGACATGTTTTGGACTTTTTGTCAACACCCCCACTTACTGAATCTTCTGCTGCTAGTAAAAAGGAGAAAAGCAGTATTATTAGAAGTCCGGATATACAGTATTTTTCTTCTAGCATTCTCATGATATTAGTATCACCTTACATCAAAGTAAATAATTTTAACTTAGAGCAAGTATCAAGAATCTGACCATTTAAAAACTTGAATTCATGTTCAGAATTGGCCAATTTAAAGAACAGGCTCTAATGAATGATAAGCCAGTTAACATCTGTTTCTCAAGAGAAGCACTGATGCACACAATCTTGGAATCTGACTTGTTGCTTTGCACCAGAAGATAGAAAATAATGTTCTCAGTTCATAGAGACTCATCAGGAAAAAAATTAGAAGTAGCTTTTTATGCAAAGAAAGTATAAAAAATCCGTATGCAGTATACCGAATATTAAAAGAAAAAGTCAAGAGCCAGTTAAAGGACCTGTTCACCATAAAATTGAGATAAAGATTTAATTATACTAAGAAATACACTTTTGCTTTTCACTTTCTCAGTAAAAATTGCTCTTTAGTTACCTTTCAGATTTGCAAATCAGAACTTGTTTTCCTGCTTAAATCCCTTCACTGACTTCCCATTGCCCTTGGGAGGACAAATGCTTAGCAAGGCTCCCCAGGCAGCACACTACCAGAGCTGCCTGCCTTTCCAGCTTTGCCAGTACCTTGCCCTTCTTGCTCTCCAGATTCCAGCTCCACCAGTTTTTAAGTTGCTCAGTTGCACCAAGCTTATTTCCACTTCAAGGTCTTTGTACATATTTTATTCTTCTTTGCTTAGCCAATGCCTACTGCGTTCAGAGTTAGCCTAAGCAGCCTTCTTCAAAAAAGCCTTCCCTGATGCCCCAGGTGCACACCTCATGCTTCCTTGATAGTTAGTTATATAATCAATTGTTCATTTATTTGTTTAGTGTCTAGCTTCCCCACCAGATGGTAAGCCTTGTGAGATAAGGACCCCACCTTTACCCAGGGCCTGCCTGACACAGCCTTGTACAGAACAGACACCCATAAATACAGAATGGATATCAAGGAGTCAGAAACAACTACTTTTATTCTGTTGAAGATATCCTTAACCTTTTAAGCAAAATATTTTGTCCCTCTGAATTTTTTGAAAATACTACCAAACACTATAGAACCAACTACAAAGAATGTATGTTTTTTTTACAAGATAGAAATTTCTAGATAGAAATTATTTCTTCTTTAAACATTAAAAATTTCTTAGGAAACCTTTTGAGCACTGAACTCTTAAGACAAAATATGAAAACATGACAGCATTCTACTTCCATGATGACATTTGAGTCATCTGATGAACTAACAGTTGATCTTAGAATCTCAAAAGAGACTTTCTGAAGATAATTGTTAAACCTAACAGTGACTTGAGTAGTAGAAATTTCATGGGGAAAAACAGCATTGTGTGGGAACATTTGAAGCATAGGCAAAGGCTTGGAATCTCCATCAAGTTGGGACTAAAGCTGTTTTCTCAGCTGGTTCTTTGGTTTTCAAATTATTTCTAAAAACTCAGTATTCTGCAGAGGTACCTCAGGAGCCTTCTACAGTGGTTAAAGAAACCTAGCCCCAACTTCTACTTCTGGATCAGTCAATGCCATCTGGTATTATATGTAAGATCTTTGGAGGAAAAAAACCCCAAACCACTAATCAACTTAATAATCACCAGTTTGTGTACAATAGTTTCCTGTGTAAGCAAGTTTCCTGTTGGCTTTTATTTTTTAGGCTTCTGTCATGTGAGATTAAACTCAGCCTGACCTCTAACTACTTTACTAGAAGGAAGAACATCTCATCTAACCTTTGTTATTTATGTTTCCTTCTTGCTTTTTCATTTCCTCTTCTATTACCTTCATCTTTTCGTCATACTCATCAGCTAGGGATTTCCATTCTCTTCTGTTATTCTGAAGACCATTCAGCATAGGTGTGATTTCTTTGTGAAACCGTGAGAACTCCTAGAGAGAATTGTAGGTCAGAAGCTATTTAAGTCACATAGTTGATTTTCAGTACTCTTCATATGCAGAGAAGGGGCTGTAAGGAATTGTCACAGTGCTCAGAGCTGCTAAGGTCTTAACTCAGTGCCTTGGTAACAGGAAAGCCGGGTGCTGTTTTCTAAGTGTTCAGTTTGCTCATATATGAGTTCCCTCACTTTTTATTCCACCTTTGGATGAGAGATTAGGGTAGTTCCTCAAACTACTTTGGAGAAACAAGAACATCCTTACTTGCTTTCCATGTTGGTGGCTTTTGATTTTTGTTACAGTTTGAAAGAAAATTGCTCATCTAGATGACTATGTATTCACTCAATTTGTTTACTTACCTTATATACAAAAGTACAGACAAAATCAATAAATCCAACTTGAAGTTTAGGTAGTTCATCCCTCTTGTTTCTGTCCATCATAGGCTAGAAACAGAAATAAATCCCTTTAAGATAGTTCTCTAAGATTCAGTGAACAAAATAGACTGATTCGTATTGATAATTTTCAACAAATATGCATTTTTATGTCAGGGTCTTTACAATAGGTTGCTGCTGTAGCACTATTCTCTCCAGGTCTCCTTGTTCCCAAAACTCGTTCGCAACCAGAAGTGCCACCTGCAAATAAGGAAGACTTCGTTCATGAGTGACTTACTGATAGAGAATTTTCATGTTATTAGAATGGATGACATTTAAGGATAGAGTTTGTAATTAATACTTGAGGTGTCATACCATATACTCTTTGGTTTTAAAAAGATGTTATTTACACATTGTTACTGAAATGGGAAAGGGGAATTTCTCTTCTTACTTCAGTGTTCTAGACCCATTCTGGGGGTTCCTGTTTTGTTTGCCATTCCACCACCTCTCAGCAATAAAAAGGGAGATGGGAGGATGTTGAATTCCATTATTTTATGCTTCAAGCTCCAAAGCTCCCCAAATCCCTCTCTTGTGCTGCTTATATGTTAGCATGTTAGCATTTAGCATTTATCTACACAAAGATTAGAACACAGCTTTACCTCATTACAGAGGATATCTGAGGGTTAGTGTATATAGTTTTTAAAAACCTGGTAACTATCAAGTTTGTTGAACACCTGCTAGCCACCTTACATTGGCATAAGCCAGGCTTGCCAAGAGGAATATGATGGGACATTTCTCTTTTCTTTACACAGTGCCTTATAAAAATTGACACCACACTGAAGAAGAGATTGTACAAGGAAAACCACCCTTGATAGGGGAAAGCCCTAAAAATTCATCCTTTTCTCTGCTGATTGATCTATTAAAAACTCAAACATTCCCTGAATAATTTTATATCAACTCTTTACAGTCTGTTTAATGATAAGGAATTCTTTGCAGAAAGCATTTTCTTTCCAAGACATTCTACTTGTTTTGGGCCCTGACCAAATGACCTGCTGTCTTACTGACATCTGTGATCTCTTGGAAGCCATTTGCCATTCATTCACAGAAGCCCAACAGGCTTCTGTCCTAACTTTTGTCCTAACTCCTCCAGTTCCTGTTCACTTCTGCATGGGACCTAGACAGTGCCTGAGAGAATGACAGTGAAGGAAACATAATTGTACTCACCTGACTTTGTACTTCCCAGGGCTTCGTTATAGCTGACAAGTCACATGCAGTCATCATCATTGCACTTTGGAAGGAAACAAAAATTGTGCCCACAGAAATAAAAAAGTTACTTTGCCAAAAGAGGAATAAAATTCTGACTACTCACATGATAATCTCTTTTTTGGTTGGATCAATGGTTATATATTTGATGGCTGCTTCTTCAGTTTCCATTTTTTCACAGGCATCAACAATTTTTTGAAACATGGTTCTCTTCCTAAAAAAGATACAGCTGTGCAACAATTTTAGCATATAAGACCAGGGATTAAAAAGGAACCTTGAATATGTGCTTTGCAGATCTCATGTTCTTACTTTACATAAGATACCCACATAGCAGAATAGGTAATGGCCATGTAAACATGGCATTGAAAGGGTTTAAGACAAAAAAAAAAAAAAAAAGCCATACAATTAATGTTTGAATATGTTAAAATGAAAAATTTTATATGACAGAAGAATCATGACATAAACATACAGACCACAGGCTGTGATGAGATACTGTAATGCATAAAACCAACCAAAAATTAGAACTCAGAGTATATGAAAAGATGCTCAGTCTCACTGGAAAACAGGAAAATTAAAATCTGAACAATAATAAGATACCTCTCACACATAGGTTAATACAGTAAATAAATAATTAAAGGTGCCCAGATCAAGAGTAGTTCAGATATAGGATAATAGGAACTCTTGTACACAGCTATTGGGAGTTTAAATTTGCACAACTACTCAAGTGCAGTTTTGCAATGTGGTTTGTAATCGAAGGTATACAGGCCCTACAGCAATCTCATATCTAAGTATGTACTTTAAAGAAACATATGTATATATGTATAGACACACACAAGGATATACAATATAATATTGTAAGCAATGATAATGAAAATCTAAATTCATGAATAGAAAGAAGCATGGCTAAATTATGGTATATTCATACAGTTGAATATACAGTGAAATGGATCTCCACTTACCACCAAAGTAAATCTTTAAAATATAATGTTGCATGGAAAAAGCAAGGTGCAGAAAAGTACATATAGTATACCATTCATGGAAAATTTTTAAAGACACATAACAATACCATATAAAAACACGGATGGAAAGGACAAATACACATTAGCATCAGGATGGTGATACCTGTGAAGGAGGAGGCGGGGGCTTCAGGGTGGAGTGGGAGTGGGATGCTTCAATTGCATTTTTTTTATCCTTAAAAAAAGTTCTAAGACAGTGTGATATAACCTTAGCATCTGTTGAATCTGGAATTTTTGGATATCAATTATTTTTAAGTAACTCTCTTCATCTTTGTACTATTTAATAATTAAGTTTTTAATTAGGAAGGATCAAGAAGTATAACTTGATACTCCCCATCCAAGTCATTAAATATTTGGATCCTATAACCAGTTCACCTTTTTGTAATCCATTTTCATCAAGCAACTTTATAGTTCATGGACAAGAAAATGTTCAGAATCTTAGAGGATCTGATCTCCTTGGTAATTATTATAGACTAGCATTCTGCAGTTGGTAATTATTATAGACTAGCATTCTGCAGTATATAACTTAGAATTGTATGAGTTTGGTTAATGTGCATCAGTAGCATCAGTTTCAAAATTTTTCCAGCTCCCAGCCTCTGGCAGGATCAAATGTCTGAACTCTAAAACACCAGACCCCAGACCATGATGAATGCACCAGCACAGAAGGCCACCTTGCAAGGCCACCTTCTGGCAGCGCGCCGACCTTGCTGCGTATTCTTCAATTCAAACCTCTTCAGATAATGTATGAATTAATATTAGGGGCTTAGCTTTTTATAAGGTTTCCAAATGGCTATAAAGACACTATCAGGCATCTGGAGGGTATTCTATTGGTAACCCAAAAGGAAGATGAATAAATATATGTGTGACTAAATGCCTTTTAACTTGATTGTAGTGGATCACAGAGTATACAGAGTTCTGTACTTACTTGAAATACAAAGCCAGGTCAGTTGCTATTATTGTAACTTCAAATAAATGAATAACTGTTTCAAACTGGCGTTTATTTAGGTTCTGGAAGATGTTTAAACTCTGTAAAATGAAAATTCACAGAGTCATAAAGCATAATCATTAATTTGCTTTTGACTCAACAAACAAACCAAATGATGCTTAACAAAGATTATTATATAGGAAAAAAAAACTAGGTCTTTCACTCACTCCTTTGCTTTCAGCTTGCTTTCTTAGATTAAGTTATTCCTCTGCTGTACTTTGAATGAGGTAATTTGAACTATAAAATAGGTACTATTAACAAATACCCATTTACCAATGTATAGATTTTTGGAGTAAATAAGAGCAGTTTATTCCAGGACCATTAAAAAAATAATAGATTGAAAATTTTTATTAATTCAGGAGTTTAATAAGGAATATCTGGCAGATGTGCAATTGTTAGACATGTTGAATTATCCACCAGATTTCAGAGTGATAATAGAAACTACTGGAAAACTTCCTGCAAATTTTACAAGTACTGCAAATTACACTAGTACTCATGTAGACATAGGAAAAAAATAATGAAATCTTCCCTAATTCTAAAAATGTTTTCTTGTAATTATATTTTGAAAAGATTTAACTAGGCCTTTCCCTCCAATAATCTCTTTACTTATGGATCACCTTCATTTCTTTGTGTTCTAGAAAATGAGAGTGTAAATCTGGGAGTGGTTTTTGAAAGGTCTGATATTCCAGAGAGATCATTTTAGGCATACAGACTAAAGGACAGATGTGTAATGATTTTGGCAAATGAAGTTGATAGTTATGAAATACAGAAAAATTCCACTGGAAAGAAGAGGAAATAGTCTATTAACCTATGTAGAGATGGAGGCAGCATAATGCAGCAGAGTGTACTGGACTAAGGGCTGAATAATAGCAGCGAACATGTAATGCCAGGCACTGTGCTAAAGCTTTACGAAGACTCATACTCTCACAACAAACCACAGCACAGAAAGGATAAATAACTTGCTCAAGGTTAAACAGCTAGCACACAGTAGAGCTGATATCTAAATCAATGCAGCATGGCATTACACTGCCTCTCAACAAGCGTCCCAGGCCCAAAAAAGATTCCCAGCTTCACCACTTGGTAGTTGTGTAACCCTGGACATATCACTCAACATCTCTGAGTATTTGTTTTCTCAAACAAGGATAATATTAGCTGTCCTGCTAACTGCCTAATGCTTAGTCTATGATAAATATGTATTTGTGGGATGTTAACTAAAAGGAGACAATAACTGGGAATACATTTCAATGTTGTAAATTGCTATGAAATTTAATTATTGCTATATCATTATTATTATTATGTAAAGTTTGAGGCTAGCTCCAGGTTAATTAGAATTGCAAACCCAAGACCAGATATGGCTCTCTCTCATTCCAGGAGACTGAAATATTAAAAAGCAAGAAATGGACATGAACTCAAGTTTTAGCTACTATGTTCTGTATTATACAAATCTTTACTTAAGTCATCTTTTTATAACAAATCCCAGGACAAGAAAAATACACAGAAGATGCAAGTAATAGAAAGGGAAGCTGTGATATTTTTTGTTAAATTAAATAATTCCTAATAGCAACTATAGTTAGTCTTAAATAAATAGTATGAAGAAATGGCTTTGAACACTCCAAATTGCAATAAACAAAAGAAAGCCTGTCTGGATCAAAGTCAATTTCCTGAGACAGTTCACAGCAGTCCCTTGGGCATAAACTCTGAGCCAGATCTTCTGGATACAGATTATTTTCAACCTGGTCTGGATTGGCCAGGAGGTAAGAAGAGTAAATAGGGCATTTGTGGCATTTTAATCCCACTTAACCTGCCCCTGACTTTGGTACAATGGTCGACTTCCCTTGGACTGGTGGTGACCTAGTGGTATGTTTACATCAGTGAGTCACTGTATTTGTTCACTGATGTATGTTGTTACGTTCCCAAAGTAATGTGTATTGTGTGATTCTGACACATATTTCGTAGATCCAGTAACACTTAAAGTTATCCTTAGTTGTTGAACTAGGGGAAGAAGTTGGTGTCATGTGTGAAAGTGCCATAAACTTTTTGACAATTTTAATAGCACATGAAGTCATTTTAATGCTTATTGTATTACTGCAAATTTGCTAAGGGAGTAGGTCTCAGGTGTACTTACCACACCTGCACAAAAAGGGGAAAATGAGATGAATATGTTAGTTTGACTATAGTAATCATTTCTCTATATATATTGAAACAATGTTATACACCTTAAATATATGTAATTTAAAAAAATAAGCAAATAGGAAGTTGGAAAAAAGCCAAATTAAAACATTATAGAACTGGGTAGAGAGGGTGTCATAGGTAGCAAAACAGTAGACCAAATTTAAATAAATAATCTCTTAGGATAGATCTTCTTGTCTCTACCAAGGGTCAGATTGTGGAGTGTGTAATCAACCAATAACCAAGTAAAATCAATATTTTTTATGCACCAATTATTTTAATGCATGTTGCTTATATTTGTAAACCTGGATACCTGTTGCTATTTGCTAAATATATGTGTGTGAGAGAAAAAGCTATATGTAAAGACATATAAAAAATATGACATACTGTTGTATTCTCTTTAACTCATAACTTTTTCCAATCCAAAATAATAAATAGCTGTATTAAAAAACAGCTGACAGATTATGAAAAGGTCTTTCACTTTACAAAGTAAACCAATACTGGGTTTAAAAAAAGATGTGTAATGACATACTTTTAAAATTGATATAATTGACACATCAAATTTGGGGATTAAAGATGGTGGTGGGAGAGGAGAGACAGAGGCTTCCTCCTAAAACTGGATACAATTAGAAAATTTAATTGGCGCAACTAATCCTGAGAGCAACAGGGAAGAGGACAGCATCAGACTGCACACACCTGGAGAAAAGAGCAGACCTCAGTGAACGGGGTAATGTACCAGAGCTGTGGCTCCGTGGAACCCAAGCCCCACCCCCACCCCAGCTCACTGGTGGGAGGAACAGAAACGGAGCAGGGAGGGAGTGGAAGGCTTGGGACTGCTGAATACCTAGCTCCGGAGATCTGCGCTGGGAGCACAAACCTATATTTCATGGTGCTTTCATGAGACTCGCATGACTACTGGGTTGGAAAGTTAATACAGGCAGAGTTCCTGGGGAGACTGGGATTCCAGCTGCTTGTGGAAAGCAGGGATCCATATCTGGCTGCTCTGGGACAAAAACTTATACCTGTGTGCCCGGCCCACTGGCTCAGGCAGTGGAGACAGGCACAGCAGCCAGGAGGCAGGGAACAGCTCTTTCCTACCCACGGTACCGCTCCCCTGTGACCTCTGACATTGCTTCAGGGGCTGAGCAGCTCCAGAATAGAGCTTCTGGACACTAGAGGGTGCCATATACAAACATGAAACGCCAAAGGAACCTTGTCCAGAGTAAAATTGTTAATACAACTCCCGAGAAAGATTTAAATGATATGGACCTCATGACTCTTCCTGAAAGGGAGTTCAAAATAAAAATAATCAACATCCTAATGGAGGTACAGAAAGACATCCAAGAACTCAGGAATGAATTCAGGTCAGAGATCCAATCATTAAAGAACACGATGGAGGGTATTAAAAGCAGGTTGGATACGGTGGAGGAGACAATAAATGAAATAGAAACTAGAGAAGAGGAATGCAAAGAAGCTGAGGCACAGAGTGAAAAAAGGATCTCTAAAAATGAAAGAATATTGAGAGAACTGTGTGACCAATCCAAGCAAAACAATATTTGCATTATTGGCATACCAGAAGAAGAAGAGAGAGAGAGAGAAAGGGATAGAAAGTGTCTTTGAGAAGGTCGTTGCTGAAAACTTCCCCAATTTGGGGAAGGAGATAGTCTCTCAGGCCATGGAGATCCACAGATCTCCCTACACAAGGAACCCAAGGAAGACAACACCAAGACACATAGTAATTAAAATGGGAAAGATCAAGGATAAGGACAGACTGTTAAAAGCAGCCAGAGGCAGAAATAAGATCACATACAAAGGAAAGCCCATCAGACTAACAACAGACCTCTCAGCAGAAACCTTACAGGCCAGAAGGGAGTGACATGATGTATTTAATGCCATGAAGCAGAAGGGCCTGGAACCAAGATTACTTTATCTGGCAAGATTATCATTTAAATTTGAAGGGATTAAACAATTTCCAGATAAGCAAAAATTGATATAATTAAGAAAAAAGGTATGCACTCAACTTTTCAGTGCTGCTTTCTTTGTAAATAGCACAAAATACCTGAATTTCACTCATCTTTTTTTCATTTATTTTCATTTTCACTTAAAATCCTTCTTAATTCTATGTTCTTTTGTTCTCTTTTTTCTTCCTTTCACAACTAAGTTTCTTAAAAGAGCTTCCTAGTGGTTTCTTTTTAAGCTATGGATATCGATTTCATATAAAAGATAATGCTTCTGTTTTGTATTTGTTGCTAGAAAGCTCTTGACCAGATTTGTGGCCCATGCCTAATAAATGTGGATGTACTCTCTCACTGCCCATTTTGGGCCTTCATCTTCATGCTTCACCTGATTTTATTGTCCCATTAGTCCTTGTTTTCTTTTTCTGTAATGTTCTATGTATTTTTGGAAGCTCTAATAAAACTTTTTTATAACAAATTGAGAACTAAACATATATGCACACATGCTGATTTTTTTTTTAAGTTACCAAAGGCAGAGCCAGTGACCCATTAATTAGAGCAATTGATCTCAGGTTGTAGACAGCACACAGCAGAAGTGAGGATCTCCCTTGAAGTCCGAGTTTGACACCACAGAGCCACAGCTGATGGAAAAACTATGCTGACACGTTTGTCCTGACTCCTGTTCCTTAGTCTGCTACAACAAAAGGAATTCCATACATAACCAGAAGTGAAGTGAGCAACATAGACAGCAGTGGCCCATCCTAACATGGAGAGCCTGCAGCTTCATGAGCTTTGCTCTGTATGGGCCCTGCCAACTT